TTTTTTCTGTGTGTGTTCAACGGGCTGTTATAAATATTAACATAGCAGCTAAAATTATTGCAGATTTTTAACCAACAAAAAATATGAAACCATTAAATAGGACGATACACAGTGATATGATGTTAAAAATATAAAAGAAGATGGAATGAGACTTGCCGATTTTTTGTTGCAACGGGTTATCAAAAATACTAAGCTATTAATTTCTCGATAAGTGTCAATTTTGAACAAATAGTTCTTGCTTATTCTTCTTCTTCTATTTTTTTTTTTTTTGCTCAACGGGGTTCAAAAAATATTAAAATAGCAGACAAAACATTTACAATTTTTTAACCTACCAAAAACTCCTTTTAAGTGAGAACATAGAGTGACATGTTGTTGAAATATGAAGATAGAATGAGACCCACAGTTTTTTTTTTGGTTCAACGTGGTGTTATAAATACTAAAATAGCAGTTAAAATCATTGCATATTTTTAACCTACCAAAAATATTGAACCTTTAAGTAGTACGATACAGAGTGACATGATGTTAAAAATATCAAAGAAGATGGAATGAGACCCACCGATTTTTTATTGCAACGGGTTATCGAAAATATTAAACCATTAATTTATGGATAAATATCATCTTTGATATTGTTTATCTTCCATATTATTCTTTTTTTTTTTTTTTGGTTCAATGGAGTGCCAAAAATACTAAAATAGCAGTCAAAGTCGTTTAAGGTATTTAACCTACCGAAGACTAAGAAACTTTTAAGCAAGATGATGCTGAGTGACATACTGTTAAAGATTAAAATGTAGATCGAATGAGATCTTCTGTTTTTTTTAGTTTAACGGACTGTCAGAAAAATCTAAATAGCAAAGTTGTATTTTTATATACAATTTCAATAATTATTATTTAAACTGTTTTTTATTGGGTATTTTTATGTCTTTTGAATTAAATTAGATTAAATTTTCTAATGTATTTTTTTCATGTGTTGTTATTGGTAACACGTCCATCACCTAAAACCATTGCAATTTTTTAACTTATTAAAAGTTTATAACCTTTTAAACAGGAATATGCAAAGTGAAATGGTATTAAAAGCGAAAATGAAGATCGATTAAGAGTTGGATTTTTTTTTCTTTTTTTCTTCTTTTTCTTTTTTGGTTTAATGGGGTGTAAAAAATACTAAAATAGCAGAAAAAATCATTACAATCTTTTAGCCTACCAAAGACTCGGAACCTTTTAAGTGAGATAACGGGAAGTGAAATGTTGTTAAAAATAAAAATGAAGATGGAATGAGACCCACCGGTTCTTTTTTTTTTAAACTAAAATAGCAGCTAAAACCATTGCAGATTTTTAACCTACAAAAAATATGGAACCTTCAAGCATTGCAATACAGAGTGACATGATGTTAAAAATACAAGCGAAGATTGAATGATGCATGTGGATTTTTTTTCCAACGGGTTGTCGAAAATACTAAACTATTAATTGATCGATAAGTATAATCTTTGAACAATTAGTTCTTGCTTATTCTTCTATCTTTTTTTTTTTGTTTTTAGGTTCAACGGTGTGCCAAAAATACTAAAATAATAGTACAAATTGTTCCATTTTTTTAACATATCAAAGACTAAGAACCTTTTAAACAGTACAATACAGAGTGACACGCTGTTAAAGATGAAAATGTAGATCAAATTGGACCTTCGTTTTTTTTTTAATTTTAACAGACTGCCAGAAATACTTAAATGAAAAATTTGATTTTTAGATCCATTTTCAATGATTATTATTCAAATTGTTCTTTATTTTATTGCGTGTTCTTATGTCTTATGAATTAAGTTGGATTATGTTTTCTAATGCATTCTTTCCCATGTGTTGTTGGAGGCAACAAGTCCATCAACGAAAACCATTGCATAAGTATTACTTTATTAGTAAATAAGCAATACATTTATTGAATTATTGTTCATACAAATATCTAAATTTTTCCTATATAATTAACATCGATGAATATTTCGAATGTTATCACAGTTTTTGCATTGTCCAGTTTTTACTCATGGGCAACTACACGTCGCTTTTTCAAGAGTAAAATTCAGAAAAGGTCTTAAAATCCTTATTTGTGCCAAGGATGGAGAATTTCACATTCGAACGACAAATGTGGTTTACAAAGAAATCCTGAAAAATATATAATTCCTGATATGTTGCTTTAGAAGTATTGTTTTTTTTCGATACATTTTTTAATAATGGCACAAATGCTTTGCATCTTTATATACTCTTAGTTTTGTCTGTTTTATCTTAATTATAAGTGTATAATATTTGTTATACACGTTCGTTTTTATTCTTATATGTTGACATTATATATTCATATTTAGCGTAAAAAAACATAGGATAATTTAGTTCTACTTTGCTCACCGTTGCGGGTAAAACACTAGTCATGATAATTACAACTTGTGATTTTTTCTAATCTTCTAACGATTCTATTTTATCAATTAGTGATACAATACTGATCATGTACAATACTTTCCATACAAGATAATGAGAAGATATTTTCCTATTCTATCAAAAGACTAGTCTGTCGATTAAATGATAAGACACGCAAAATCCGCCATATTTTATGCGGCATAAATATATGATAATGAGCATGCAAGGCATATGATCAAGTGTCGTGGATTTTTGTTGGACAAGGTAATGGAGCGGATGGGGTTTACGGAAAAGTGGTGTCAATGGGTAATGCAACTTATAACTACAGTTAGGATTGCGGTTTGTTTTCATGGGCAAGTGACAGAGGAATTTAGGCTGAACAAAGGACTTAGACAAGGATGTCCACTGTCCAGCAAACCCTATCGGCCCTTCTCAATGGAGAACGTTTTCTTCGACAAGCCAAGGGAATTAGGGTATCCCAAGGAGGGCCATCGGTCTCACATCTAATGTTCGCAGATAACTATGTCATCTTTATGGAGAACTCGGTTGAGGGCGCAATAGAGTTAGCTCGGGTACTAAGAATCTTTATGGAATATGCGGGATAGAGAATTAATTTTACCAAATTTTCATTGATGCTCAGCCCGAATAAGGAGCCATCGTTGGGTATATATATGTCCATTATGCTCAATGGTACGAAGCGGTTGTTGGATGGTTGGTATTTTAGGCTTTGATCTAGATTTTGCTAAAGGAAAGGGTCATGTATTCGGGGATCTAGTGAGGAAGATACATGCTAAGATAAAAGGGTGGAGGACCGAGGACCTCTCAGTACCCAGCAGGCCAAACATGTCTTGGGTAGTCCCTCAAATTATACGTTAGGGGCCTTCCAGGTGCCGAGCACGACGGCTAGGAAGATCGACCAATGTCTTACAAGATTCATCTAGAAACCGTAAAGGGCAAGAGGATCCATTGGAGAGCTTGGAAGGATCTGTGCAGGTCGAAATGGAGGGGAGGCCTGGGAATGAGGAAATCAGTGGAAATGAACAGGGCCCTGTTGGGGAAGCTAGCTTGGAGGATAGGGAATGGGGAGGATTCACTCTTTGCAAGGGTTTTTAAGGAGAAATATTGTAAGAACGAAAGTTTTTGTACTGTGGAGTGTAAGCAATCAGCCTCGTGAGGATGGAAAGGCATAATCTGGGGAAGGGACTTAATCAAGAGGGGGGTTAAGTGGAAAGTGGGAGACGGAAAATCACTCAGCCTAAAACAAGAATGGATTCTGGGTGTGGTAAACCCCCTCGCTAGAAGAAATTTGCAAGCTTGGGAAGAGAGGTTGAGAGTGGCAGACATCATGAATGGTCCGGGTCAATGGAATGCACAGTTGATTTGGGAAATATTTCCCAAAGAAGTGGTGCCCAACATAATGGCTCTGTATATTGAGAGGGAAAGACTTGTAAGCTGGGACAAGCCATATTGGGGCAGAGAAGTCAGTGGCCGGTTTACAGTTAAATCAGCCTACCACCTAGCTACGAATTTGGAGGATAAGGCACATCCTTCTACTTCCACTTTTTTGGCTGATACGGAAGACGGAACAGGAGGAGAGGTTTTGGAAGGGTATGTGGGGGATGAATCTGCCTCAGAAGGTTAAGTTTTTTCTGTGGAGAGCATCAATACAAGCGTGCCCAACGGTAGTGGCTCTATGGCGTCCGGGTCAGCTGATTCCACTAATATGTCCACGGTGTGGAGATAGAGAAGAGACGGTAGAACACGCGTTGCTGGAGTGTGTAGAAGCGCAATGGGTCTGGAGGATGTCGCGGTTTGGTTTTGACTTCGCAGAAGGGGGAAGTTGTGATTTTAAGGACTGGCTCAGAGAATGGGTAGCGCAAGCACCGACAGAAGAGAACAAGACCTTATCAGCTTGTCTCTTGCGGTTCATATGGTGTGCAAGGAACAGCAAGATGTGGGATGGAGTGGAATGGTCTCCGAAAAGGGTAATTCAAGAGACGGGGAAATGGTAAGTTTCTTACATCAGCGACAACTACGGTTGCATCATACAGATGGTCGACTAGGGGAAGAAATGGCTGGGGAGATAGGCGAACATGTCGTTTGGTTGACAGGAGATGGAGGCGACCTTGGGGGACCAGACCAACAAGGCTCACTCATGGAGCTACAGGTGGATGGATCCTTTAAAAAGGAGTCGAGGAGGGTGGCTGCGCGGTAGTTGTTAGAAACAATCACGGAACGGTGGTACACAGCTAGCGAAACATTGTGCGGCGCTGAGCCAACACAAGTGGAATTGTGGGAGATGTGGGAGGCGCTAAAGATTGCTCTGTCCTATGGATGGACAAACATCCACATCTTGACAGATAGTACAAGGGTGATAGACTATCTAAGGGGGTAGAACATATCCCAGTGTGGTACAAAGGTTTGAAAACAGAGATTCTAGAGAGTGTCCGATGTATAAGTACGTGTAAAATCTCAAAAGTTAGTAGGGATAAGGTACGGTTAGCTCATGACAGGGCACACGATGTAATTTGTACCTGACCTTATAAATATATAGTTCCTTCTTATCAAAAAAAAAAAAAAAAACAGTTCCGTCTGCATGATAATGGTAAAAATGGTATATAATCATTTTGTTGCATGAAATTAACTAACATGATAAAGGTGATGCATATTATGCTAGTATATATGTACAACTAATGAGAGAAGTTTACTTGGTAGCTGAATACATTGTGCAAATCAAGCCATGTATTTTGCAATAATCTTGTTTTGGTTTTGCAACCACAACTGTTGTTCTTGAACCAAATTTTGTTGATCCATTGAACCACTACTAGTAAGATTTACATTAGTACTCGCAAATAAATCGGCAAAAGGATCATTCTCAACTTGAGGTACTATTGTGGAACCACTGGGATTTTGAGCAGAGAATGTTGGCGGAGTAGCTTGAAACGTAGGCTCAAATGCCTGAAATCCTCCTCCTCCTCCAGGTGAAGTTGAAAACCCGTGGTCCACCGGAAAACCGAACTGAAAATCGACCTGTGTTGTCGCGGTGGTTGTGGCGTTTGTAAGCCCTGTAAATGGCACCGGCGAAACTTCATCAGCGTCTTGTAAAAAGGGATTGTAATGATTCGGCGGCGCTGATGATGATGATGTTGTTGTTCGGATCGAACTTTGGCTATATAAACTGTCTAAAATCGATGAGCTGAAGGGTTCTTCATTCTTGGGCTGAGAAGGCTGTGGAGGATTCGGAGTAGCACTAACTATGGCCACTTCCCAACCTGTTGGTTGAAATTCTTGTTGTTGATCTTGTTCTTGGAAAGCGTTGAATCCGCTGGCGTCGCCAGGCGATAATGGTTTGGTTGTTGTTGTTGTTGCTGTGATCACCTCTGCTAATACAAGTTCCCAACCTTTGGCTGATGAAGAAGACGATGGTTCTACTTCTTGTTGTTGTATCCCCTGTTCAGGTTGCTGTTGTTGTTGTTGATTTTCTGTTTCTTCTTCATCTCCTTCAGGCCAATCATCTAATGATACGAAATCAGCCATGGAGCTCGAAACAGGCAATGAATGTGTTGATCCAGAATCACTCAACCTGAATGATTTATCCCGGTTTAGTTGTTTCTCAAACTGATCAGAATAGTCCTCCAGGTCTATCGAGATAGACGGATGCGTGCCGGCTTTTTCCGTCGCGCTAATCAGATCTTCCAACGACGTGCATTGCGAACCAAATTCAGATGACCTTTCTGAGTATTCTGTTGTTGCAAGAGAGAATTCTGATAGCCCTCCATAGCTCTCGTTCCTGGATTTCGATGTCGGATCAGGATCAGGTGGTGCAGGCATGAGCAATAGCCTGTTTGGTGATTTGGTTGTTGCTGGAAATGAGGATTGGTCTTTCAAGAATTCTTGTAATGTTTCGATCAGTTCTTCTGATATGGTCTGAACACTAGGATATTCCGAGGTTCTCCCAACCCCTATGCTCTTGCACAATGCATAAAATGCACTAAGCTCCTCAAACAGTTTTGATGCCTTGACACAAGTTTGGAATGCACTGACACAATTCTGATATTGTAAATGGAAAAAACTATCCAGGAGAAGCGCAAGTCCATCAGAGATGTCTTTATACAAGTCGAAACTCTCCTGCACGATCGCGTATAAACAGATTTGTACCAATCGATTCGTCTTGGCTGCGCCCGTTGGCTTTGTTGCGATTGCTCTTTCCAGCAATCTCTGCCAGTATGATATCCGATCAAGCAGCATTGTCGGTTTCATATCGCGTACGGGCTCGTTTGATCTTCGGTTTCTATGGCCCGAAGCTTCCCTTACTTTGTGTGTGTATCTTCTTTGTAACTTCCCTGTTAGGAAACAATCCAGCCTCTCATCAAGGTACAGGGCGAATGTCCTGACAAATGCTGTGAAATCCCAAGGGCTAGAATTGGAGTCATCGCGAAAGCTCGACAGGTTGAGGATCTTGGCGCCCCTTTTCATCGCGTGAAGAATTTCTCGAGGGAAATACGGATCGCCATCTTGGAATATTCGAAGGACGAGCATCAACGACTTGAGGGCGACGATCCAGTTTCGCGTCCGGCCGATACGTTTACCTAGGGCTCGGGCGCAGGCTGCGGCATAGGCTTTGTTGGAGGAGACGAGCTGGAGGATTTCGTAAACGTATCGTTCTTCGATCGGGAGATCATCGTGGGTGGTTGCTTTGAGAACGGCAACCTCAAGGTTGGATGTGTTGTTGCTAGCAACTTTTGCAAGGCTAATGCTGGTTTGATCTTTCACTGCACCAATGGCCTTCTTCAGCTTGCTTGACATTATCAAAATATACAAACCCTTTCTCTAATTTTTTGATTGATTTTTCCAATAAGGCTTTTCGTATGAGATTATTTTTCAACTGAATGAGATTTAATCAAAGATGATGAGTGTTGGCCTTCTGGGCAGGAAGGAAGGAGCATTAAGGTTTCATGGGGGAAAAAAAAAAGTTTGGAGTTTTGGGAGGGGAGAGAGAGAAAGGGCCAAAAGAGAGAACGAGATGCTGTTAGCAGATGATTTGATTTTGACAAAGGCAAGTTCATGTTTCCGAAAACAAAATGAGAGGTTGTCCTCACGTCTATCATGGCCACAAAAAAAAGGGGGTGAAATAAACCCGCAAAACTGTTGACCTAATCTTGTTGAATTAACAGTCATTTGATGCATTTGGAAATGGAGAAACTTGGGACTAAGGTGGGTTATATGAAACATCCCGTGTAAATTAGTAATGTCCGAACCATGACTTGAGACGCCTAATCAAATGTTGTTCATTAGTTTTGAGTTTGTGTACATAGCATAAATTGGTTAAAACGGGAACAAGACACAATTGTTGCAAGTATAGAAACTCCACAATTCATAGAAATTATGAGACCCTAAACAGGTAAAAGAAAAATAATTAAAAAAAAATAACTACAAAATATCCAGCACCTTGATCTCTAGGGAATAAAGTAAGCATCGACTGTTTATTATAAATTAATAATTAATTACATTAGGTGACAGGGGGGAGAAAAAAAAATGTTTTGTTGAAGAAACACAAAAATAAGATCGTTAGAAATCCAATTAACACTACTACAACTAAACTAGTCTCCAAATGCTACCAAATACCAAGAACCAGCATCATCATCATCATCATCAATCGGTCTCCCAAATATTCTCCACCGATCTGCCAAATCTTATCTCAATACTCGGTGGGAAATTCACATTTCCCATATTCTGCAAAATACAAACAAAAACATCTTCGTTAGATCCCATCCCACTCAACTCTTTCTTTTTCTTTTTTGTCATCCACACCTATTTAAATAAACAATCCATTTTCAGAATATTAACATCCTTTCATATTCTCGTTCCGATAGAGCAATTAATTTAGCCAAATGAATTACCAAATAATTTAAGTTGGCATTAATAAGACAAGAGTCAAAAAACACATGTAAACAACATACTAGTGCTTCCATACTACTAAACAAAAATGGCTCTCAGTCAATCACGTGCACCCCAATTGGCTTTTTTAGCAATTAATTACCCACTAAATATTTGGCGCCATCAAAGTATCATACTGTACCAGAAAACACCCTGGACCCCACCGCCGCAGTTATTACCCAACAAAAGTGGGAAATGAAAAAAAGTGGTCACCAGCGCATTTCAATCATTCTTTTTCTTTTTTACCTTCGATCCCAACTTGACATTTTTACCAAAGTCCCCAAAACCAGAGAATAAAAACAACAGCACAGTAAAAACAACATTTCACCATTTAATAATGTCATTTTCAATTTTTTTTTTTTTTTTAAAAAAAAGAAATCAACAGGACTTACTAGGGGGAATGGATATGACGTAGGCAGCTCCACCAAAGTAGCATGAACCCACGGCCCGGCGGTTCTTTTGATAGTAGCTGTTGAAAGCGAAGGAGGCATGGGCTTCAAGGGTGTTGGGATCGTAACACGTGGACCCAGGCTGGATCGGACGGCAATCAGCACGGCCTTCCCCACACGCGAAATCTAGAGCCGCCTGCAGCTTCTCTTTTACCTCATCCCCATTCGCCACGCACCAAGTCTGACCCGGATACCCGTGCCCGTGTGTGGCCGACGACCCGCCCACAGTTCCATTATTACCCTTGGATATCCTGTTGTTTCCGCTCCCACCGGAAGGGCTATCTCGGTAATTCTTCAGCTGCTGCAGATTGAACGGGATGTCGTAGACCTTTGTCTGATCAGGGTAAAACAGTCCATAATTCCTCTCGGAAGTGGGCCCGACTTTCTTGTTCTCGTTGAAAAGCGCGAACAAATAGACGGTCAGATTTACGTGAGGCCTCAAAGGGGTCCCACCACCAGTGAGCACACGTTTGACTAAATTTCCGTTGTACGCAGCTGCGTTCTCCACTGAAGCCCCGAGTTCGTTCGGGTCGCCCTTCGACGGCCACCCGGTTTCCGTCACGACGATGCTGACGTCGTCGTACTTGATCGCTGACATCGCCGCGAACACGGCGTCGATCTGAGCGTCGAACAGGTTGAAGTAACGGAGGCCGTTGCCGGAATCCACCACTCCCGGGTTTTCCCGGAAGAGCGCGTAGTCCAAGGAGATGACGTCGGAGTTGGACTCGTAGGCGAAATACGGGTACGCGTTCACCATCAGGTACGACCCGGTCTGACGGAAGAACTCCAGCATTGGCCGGAAAACGGGTTCAATCAACTCAGATCGGAATGCACCCGACGAAGTCGGGTACGAATTCTGGAGGGCGGTTAAAGCAATCGGAGAGGAAACTTTAATGGCGTCATCCAGCTTATACTTGACGAGAGCAGCATGGATATTTTTCATGGCGGGTACGAGGAACCGGGTCGTGTTATGGGTATCCACGAATACTTCGTTACCCACGGCAATGGCTTCGATTTGGGTGGAGGGATGGTAGGCAAGGACGTTCTTCTCCACCCAGGAGTAGGCAAAAGACGGCCGTCGTGCGGCGGTGAAGAGCTGTTCATTCGGTAAGTCCACCGTCACCTTGATGCCGGTGCCGGATAAAGCTTTGAGCACGGCCGGGTCGGTGTCGTACACCTTAACCCGTTCCAGGCCTTGGGATTTTAGAAGCCTCACTACTTTGACTGCTGACGGAAGATCATTCGCTACTCTGCCATAATTCACTCCTATCGATCCCCCTTCTGCAAAATCAAACAATTATAAACATTGGTACAAAAAAGTGAAGCCACATTTGTGTTTTCTTTTGTCCATCTTAATGGAAAATGATGAATGCATCAGAATTTCAGCATTACTCTAATAACTGTTAGTCTCAAGTTATACTATATGAAAACGTAAATAAAGGGACCTCTCCGTCCCAAAATTATTGTCCATTTGAATTTTCTTTTTTAGTTCAAATTGTAATAAAAGTGAAATATCAAACTGGATAATAATTTTAGGACAGAGGGAGTATAAACTTTCTGCATCAAATGTATGATTCAAATCATCAATCTGCAGAATCTACCATCCGAAACAGAGGCACTTACATACAAAATGAAAAAATGCAGGTCTCTGTTAGTGTGTGTGTGTGTGTTACAGAACAGAATGTTAAAAAGTAGCTCTGAATCCTAATGAATATACGACGCCACAAAAAAATGTGAGTAAAGAAGAGGAAAAGCAACAAGAGAGAATTTTTTTACCGGAAAGAGTAAAGAGTGAGGAGAGAATGAGGAGGAACGGCAAGACGACACTGAAATATTCCATGCAGTAATGGTGGAACCTGGAAGAAGAAGAAGAAGAACAGGGCAGCATTGAAGGAAATAATAATGAAGGGGGCTGGGGCTGGGCAGAAATCGAAGCAAAAGTTTCCCTTCTTTTCTTTTTTGTATCAATTTGTCAAAGAATGGGGGAAAAGGGGAGAAGGTGGTGAAGAAGGCGAACGTGGGAAAGCAGAGTAGGAGCAGAGCAGCAGAGTAGAGTGTGGGTGAGAAAAAATGGGGGAAGGTTTTGGGACGATAATTTATTGGCGGAAATGTGGGGGTGAAAACTGTTGTTTATGGATGTGGGGGGGGATCTTTGTCTTCTTCTTGTTTTACATGATCCTTGTTGTGTTTAGGATCCGGTTTATACCGGGTTAACCCAACATTAATTAGCATCAAAACTGTACCACGGTACAACCTAGAGACAAATATTATATACTGTACTAAATAAGTATCATTAGACAACTTTTACCTAGTTTAAAAATAATTAAATAAGATAGATAAATTATTAGAATGTTCTCAACTTACCTATTAAAACAAATAGTTTGGAAAATTTGATCAAAAATTATATTAGAATCAGAAAACTAGAATTTTCTCATTTTTTTAATTATAACGACACTTATTTTATAATGGAGAGAATATTAGTATGTACATACCGAATAACTCGATAATTTTTGTGGAATGGTGAAAAATTGATCAAAAATTTTCTTCATACTTTACTTTAGATGATTCGGAAGTAAGGTGAACACTGAATTGTGCCTTCAAGCATTGGCAAAATCTGGAGAACAGGATTCATGATCATTTGTTTGTTTTCACGCGGTCATTAAGGGAAAAAAAAAATGTTTTCTGAATGATTACCAAAATAAACCTTTGAAAACTCAAACTATCAACATCTCCCAGTTTTTGTAGGGCTACATATGGAAATACAAAACCGAATTAATGCAATAAAACCAATTTGTTTGGTGGAAACAAACAAGAGTCTGCCTTTCGGCTTTATTTATACTGCCACTAATATTTTTCTTATACCAATGTGACTTAAAATCCGAGAATAAAGTACGAAATATGTAGTAAAAAGAATTAACTTGATTTACGTATTTTGTCATTGACGGCTGCCTATTAGATCAGTATCCCTTTTCGTGCTTCGTTTTTGTCTTTTGATTTATGATTGGAAAGTTGCACGAGAGCTATGAAAGCTTTTATCTGCTTATGTAACTGTCAAAGTAGTATTAGCATTCACGTCGACAAGTTGATTAGAAAGAACTCCTCTTTTTTTTTTTTTTTCCAAAATCATGCAGAACTATTTATTTTTCAGATGGTTCTTCACGACAACTTTATTTATTAATAACAAGTTGCGGAGTTTATTATCGAATAAGGTATCGAAGGTGATAATGATATAATTATCAGTAAAAACTTCCAAATAGAAATGAATGTTGTATACACAAAAATAAATAAATAATAAAAAGCCATTGTTAGTAATAAGGAGATTATTGGGTTAAATGCTGGATTATTCAATACGATACGTGAGCCATTAGAGCGTGATTGGGTGGTAGAGGTCAAACATGTGTTTAGAGAGTCAAATTTCGTAACTGATTACTTGGCGGCGTTAGCGACACAAGAACCAGAAAGTGTGTAATGGCTACAAGCTCTACTATCGAGTATTTTTACCATAGTTGGAATATGATTTAATTGGAGTGTCATACTCTCGTAATGTGTTAGTCTAATATAAGGCGTTGTCGCGTCAACCAAAAAAAAATAAGCAGATGACGAATCACTAACTTTAAAACTTGTCCACGACGTCGGATTAAAAATGACCCCGTATTTTTCAGGTATCTGACCGGATTTCGTCTAGGATACCGGCGGGGGATGGAATCCACAGTACGTGAGCGAGTGGGGCGAGAAAAAAGATGATAGGGACAGGAGTAAATCGGATGACCTAATTAATACACGACTAATAAAGACGTTCCCCTCTTTCATCAGATACTCATTACAAGATTGTGTAACAGGAAAAAAAGTTGAGCCAAATAGTAAAAACAGCGGAAAAGAGAAAATAAAAGGGTCTAAAAAAGAGAGACACTACAGTGCTCCACGTGGCCTCGTTGTTATCTGGGGTCCACTTAATTCGACCGTTTCAAGAGTAAGTCAGTCTCATTCTCATCTCATGCCATAAAGATCCATTGCTTTTCTGCTTTGTCCAACTATGCTGTTTGCTGACCCAGCCAGATTCATTCATTCATCATCCCGATTGTTCTAACGTTAACCAATCAATACTGTTACTAATGAGTAATGATGATCGTTAATGATTCCCCCGGGTTATTGTTTCCTTGTTTTACACACTTTCTACAAGTATATGTAATCTTGGGAGGCACGAAAATGTGTAGTGATTAAGTCAAACATTTAAGTCGTTACAGATTCATTATAAAAAAATCAATGTAATTGTTGGTCTGTTGAGTGAAAATATCTAACAACAAAAGGCATATTTTTAAGTGAAAAAGTTGTTTCAATGTGAATAAGTCCTATAGGCTATCGAACAATGTTTATATTGAGAATGACCAAAAAAAAAAAAAAAAACTATGTCATACGTATAGATTACATCATTCATAACTATGTATTTATACAAATTGATTAATGCCATGCTCACGGTTATCATCCAATCTATACATAAATACTACTACTTGCAAGGACCATGATTGCTCCATAAATCATTATCATTTCCTAAAATGTATACAAATCATTATTAATTCTCCAAAGACAAACTGGAAACCGATCCCTGTTGAAAATCTCTCTTTATTTTGCTTCCTTTTCTTTTCTTTTTGCCTAGAGACAGTTGCACTTTACTTTTAACATCTATTTTCTGCGTATCTACTGCCCATTTAGTGGTTGGGTCAAAGTTATTTAACACCAATCCAACTTTTGCCACATTGATACTACTAAAGAGTTCACAACAAAATAAATTCGGAATACGATATTTGGAGCGGTTGATAGAGAAGACAAGGAAATGTCGAATGCCATTTCTTTATGTCCTTCACACATATAATCATAAGAAATACTCTTTCCTGAAAAATTAGTCCACATTCAGTTTTGAAATTTATACTATTTTTAGTATAAATTTGAAAAACTCTATGTGCACTATTTTTTTTTTTAGACGGAACAAGTATAATTTAGGATGAGAGATATATAGAAAGTTATAAAATTTGGGCTGTGCTATATGGAGAATCACTGCTTAATACTATTTTTTGACCATGTTAAAACATGGCCGATAAAATTCATTCACTCAATTTTCATTTATAATTATTTTTTATCTAGGGACTCATTAAATAATTGTACTAATTCAGTTTGGTGTAATGACATCGACTATAGCTTATTTTTGTCCCATTTACCAAAATTCATAAATTAAGGTCATTTTTAATGCATTCAGAGGAACTACGAACGAAATGGAGTGGGGATAAAAAATGACTGGGCTGGATTTTTCGGGAGCTTTTCATATCTTTTTTATTGGACTTCAATTGGGTCTGTTTGATTTTGCTTGGGCTAATAGCTGATGTTTTGAAGTATAAATATTGGGCCATAAACCAATGATGGCAGTTTGTATGTATGACTTGTATAGAGATAATAAAAGAACTCCAAGTGGTCACTTTCTGGGCCATTAAACAACAATCTAACCAAAAAAATTTCTTTTTCATTTTAGAGATGCTACTTAAACGACTACATGTCTTAGTTTATTCAATAATCTTGATCAAATCATTATCAATAAACTTTCACAAAGAGTTTTGCATAGTATAATACTCCCTCTGTCCCAAAATTATTGTCCAGTTTGAAATTTCACTTTTAGTACAATTTGAACTAAAAATAAAAATTCAAACTGGACAATAATTATGGGACGGAGGGAGTACTTTTTTTGTGGGAAAAAATTTAAACCAAATGACCCCATTATTACTATTATCTACAATCCCATAAATGTGGGTAAAAGGGGGAAAAAAAAAAGAAGCAAAGAAGAGAGGTTACAATAGTGGATCTTTAAAACAAAAGGATATTACTAAATGTAACTTGTAAAAAAGACTAAAAAACACCCATGTACTATAACAACAAAAAACTATATATAGCTTTATCTTCATACTAGACGTGTTCAAAAACTGAAAAAGCAAAATTATCTTCTGAGATAAAATTAACCCAAAAAGAATATAATAACCGAGGTCATTATTAAATTATAAGACGGTAGTAATATTGGCCAAAAGCTTAAAAAAAATTCCTATATAAACCAAAAAAAGAAAATTGTTGAGGACTTTATTAATGTATAACACTATTCATAAAAAGAAATTTTGTCCAGAAAAATTACCTGTTAGGATATTGATGTCTAATTTTTCCTTATTTTCCGTAATTTTTTAGTTTTCTGTCATTGTAAATTATCAACAATCGGTGATTTTTTAACTGTATATTGAAACAATTCAAGAGAAATAATAAAAAGAGAGAAAATAGTATAAAAGAATGAAACAATTTGAGATAAATGAGAAAAGAAAAAAAGAAAAATGATACAAAAGAGTAAAACATGAGAAAGATTCAAAAAATATTTTACTCTTTTTTTCAAGGTACATAAAATAAAATTAAGTTGCGTTTAATGATTGACAGAAAAAAAAAAAAAAAAGAAGCGGATAGAAATTTGGGGTTATGCATGATGATAAAACATTAGGATTCTAAGCATGCATGTAAGGATATTGTTAGTTTGAAGCAGGATTTTGTATCTTGTAAGGTCATCAAAGTCTGTAGATTTGAAGTAGATAGAGTAAATCAAGTAGCTAACTAATGTACTCCTCACTAACTGATGTACTGTTGTATGGTTTAGATATGCATGATGTTTCAAAAAAAAAAAAAGTGACATGGAGGGTTTACAGCTTTTTCTTTTTTCTCTCTCTTGGAATATTTGTTCAGATTTCTTTCTAGAGATTTACTTCCAATTAAGGGCTACAGTAACTAGCTCGCCTGTCTAAACGAACATGGAGGGTGATAAATCAACTCGTGTAGATCTTGTTGATGACAATCTTGCTACCAAAAAAGTGAAAAATAAAGATACAATTAGAGAATAACAGCCAGCACTCTTTTCTTTCAAAGCAGCAGTACTGAATTCACAAGGGGAAAAGAGGAAGCTCCCAACAAGAATTCCAGAAACGGTCAATGATGGAGAAGTAATCCATGGTTTCAACAACGGAATTGGGTCAGTGACTTTCCTTGATCCAGTCCAGCAAGGAATGAAAAAATCGATGGGATTTTCTGTCGTGGTTAGCCCTCTTGGTAAA